TCTTGCACTGGCATCGCTGATATGAAATCCCTGAATCTTTTTGGAACCTTTGATGATGTATAATTTTCTTGTGGAGGGATGCCCTTTTGTTTGTCACAAATTACAAAATACCTTTGGATTCAGACACAGCAATTAAATCCCAAAAGCCTCAACTTTCTGTATCAATCTTCTTCTTCCAGCTATCTTTTATACGCTCCTCCTTTCAGTGTTTGTCCCCTGGCGAGACACTGTGAGTAAATTTTGGTTCACAGGCATCGCCAGAGATGAAGGAATGCTGTCCTATGTCCTTTCAGAAAAACAGGATGATCAAGTTCTTGTCTCATGGTGAAATGATTCCTGTTAAATGATTAGCTGAATGTGAGAACTATAGATCTCCTTTAGCCATAGAACTATACTGCTTAATCACCGAGCCTTGTATTTCAGAAAATTCACATAGGATATTATCATCCAACTATTTAATTCTGAGACTTAAGATCTTTCCATGGGAGTCTAGGCTGCCACTGTCTTTTAGTATGTATCTTCTGATTCAATCATTGTATCGCATTTGACTGTTCACTTTAATCATTTTGCTATTCAGGGAGACAATTTCCAAGTGACAATTTCTCAAGGTAAGCTAAAAGTAGATTACAGAGAGTCTCCTACATTATTCTCTACCTTCTTAAAAGATGAATGATTTAGAGGCAACACAGTACGAAAATAATGAATTGTGCAATAGTGAATTCATCTCGTCATTTCTTCTAGGTTTCTCCATGCATCATTGTTCTAGGCAAGCACTCTACAATAAAAATATAATGAAAGCTCATTACATGGTTTTAAATTTTCCTTTCGGCAAATGAGAAAAAAAGATGATTAATTTTAATAGATTTTTATTTAATCCTAAATATTATTTTCCTATCAGACATTCAATATGTAAAATTAACCATGAGCTACCTTATTTTTAAGTGAACACTTTCAAGTCTGATATTTCTTTTGTACTTATATAACAACTCAGTTTTGATTAGCCTCGTGGCCACGTATAGCTAGTGGCTACCATAGTGGACAAGAAAATTCTAGATAATTCGACCCTTGTCATTTATTTTCTTACAACCCTTCTTTTATTAAGTCTTAGTCTTTCTTTTTGTCTAGTTGAATTGATTAGTGACTAAATACTTCCTCCAAAACCAAACTCACTGTGATTGAATTGTTTCCAACTCACAGCAAACCTAAGGGTAGAACTATCCTTGTGGGTCTCCGAGACTGGAACTCTTTATTACACTCTGTGCAACAGAAAGCCTCATCTCTCTCCTGTGTAACAGCTGGTGGCTTTGAACTGCTGCACTTGTTGATTAGCATCCCAATGGCTAACCACTACGCCCCCAGAGTTCCAGGAAAGATGAAATTGATAAAGCGCTTCAAGATACAGACAAAGAAGGTCAATCGCATGCTATCCTGGTTTAGGGGCCCAACAAATCCCTATGATAATAACATGAAAATAAATTTTATCTGTTTGAAAAAGAAGAATGTTTTGTTTACACTTCAGGAGACCTGAAAGAAAAATCCACATAATGACTAGAACTGCTCAAAAAATAAAATCCCAAACTAAATTTGGTCTAAAATGCCATTCTACTATATCATCGTATACTTTGATAGTATGCATTATACTTTTCCATAGGCCATTAGTTTTCTTCCAATGGGCACTATCCTAGCAACCATTTCCTTTGATGGGATCCATTTCCTGCTACTGGCAAATCAGTCATTGATAATCCTAAATTTCACCGCATCGACCTGCCCTGGTTCCCCTGTAGGGTGGGCACTGCCCAACAGCCGCTCCTCCGGAGGAAGATGAGGCTCCTGCTCCTGCAAAGATGTACAGCCTTTGGTGGCAGCGTGAATTTCTTCATAATGTGATCATCGCTATAAAGAGAAGAGGGGGTTGACATCTTGAAATTGTGTTTGATACGCAAATTCTATAAAGCATAGAAACTTGTGGTGTTAACTCCGCGCCATGTTGGAGCTCATTTGTTTCCATGAAGAACCAGAACAAACAACATTCCCACTATTAGTCCCACTCCAATACATTGGAAGCTCAAGATGCCATTAGGTATATCTGCAACCCAGGCCCTATTTCAAATTAAATTTCTAATTCTTTCTAGAAGGTAAGTGATTAAATCAGTGAGGGTCTCATATACCAAATGAAGACACCTGCCTGGTTTTTCCTACTTCATAGAGAACTAAAATAAAAGCAGTTATTTGTTTTGAAATAAAAAACATCAATATTTAAGCCTTTCTAATTTTCCCCTCATGGACCTCTGGTTGCGTTGCAGGTTATGAGTTGGGTGGCTAACTATAGAAGTTCAAATCCACCAGCTGCTCTGTGAGAGAAAGAATAGGTTTTCTACTACAACCAAGAGCTACAGCCCTGGAAACCCACAGGAGCAGTTCTCTGGAGAAAGATGGGGCTTTCTACTCCAACAAGAGACCCTGTTCTGTAGGGTTGCTATGAGCGAGTGTGGACTCAATGGCAGTGAGCTGAGCTATAGGGTCGCTTTGAATTAGAACAGACTCAATGGCAGTGAGGTGTTTTTTGTTTGTGTGTTTTCAATGTCTCTTGGTGGATTTTCATCTTCAATAATATAAATGAGGACAAAGATCACACGTGTGCACATGCACACATGAGCATACATGACACCATTTCTCGTCGCTTTTTATTCATTTTTATTTTATTTTATTGCATGTCCTGGCAAATATAAGTGGCTTTTTAGATTTGCCTCTGGCTCACCAAAAGCCCATAACACAAAATACCAATAGACAAGCAACGGAAAGCTTAAAAAAAAGGTATCACGTCTATAAGAAAGAGCCTTTCAAAAACATTAATAAAGCATATAAAACTTTTAACATTTACTTAACTTTTTTATACAATTATAAAAAACAATGATACAAAACAAACACAACCCTTTAACATTCAACATCCCCTATCTTGTATTTTAAAGGAATCTCAATGGAACAAAAGGCATTGAGGCACAAGGATTTAATGAAGAAAGTTCGGCTCTCCTTTGTACTGTTTAGAACTACTTCCAAAGAAAAACTGTCCCCTTCTTCAGCTAACTGCATTGAGCTGAGGCTGCACAAACTCCCTTAAGCCCATTCCCACTTATTTGCTGTTAAGATTCATTCACCCCGGATCCTACATACTTAAAAACGCAAAGAGGAATTTGCAACCCGGAAGCGAGGCCAGCCATTGTGCCTGTGGAGCCTCAGCTAATGCTAACCCTATGAGACACAGGACAGGAATGGCTGAGAGCTGCGTGCGAGTGGAGAGTGCTGAAATTATTCAGAAGTCCTCTCAAGCTTGTCAACACAGGCTGTGAGAGGAAGCCATTTACCCTCCGAGTGGTGCCAAGGCCCCGCTTTCAGTCATACCCTGCCCTGGGTGTTCAATGCGGCAGGTGTGCCCCTCAAATTAACAGTGCTTCCCACCTTTGAAGCACAATAAAACATTGAAATCAAGGACTCACTCTCTTTAACATACAAACTTTAAAAAAATAATAATAAAAAAACAGCTCCCTCATCTTACAATTATGGCATTCTTTTTCATTGCATTTTATTCCTACTAAATGTTGTCTCATGAAAATATAAAAACAAGAACTAACAAAAATAAAAATAGAGGCTGCAATCGTGGTTCTGGAAATCCCACTAACCCAAGGAAAAACAAACGAACAAACAAACAAACAAACAAAATATGCAATTCACAGGCAACATCTATGTACACTTTTTAAATGAACCTTGTACATTACACTGTAGAGCCAAGTCAGCCCTTTGCACATTAAAAATGGCAGCTGATGTGCAATGATAGCCCTTTCTGAAAATATCTGGCAGGAGTTTAGCGCTCACTGGAATATATACAAAACACTACTTTGATAGCTTGAAATAAAAATAAAATATTTACTACAAGTTAGGTTCCTGAAAGGTCTGGGAGGAAAGCTGTCATTCACATGTTTTCCCGAAGTTCTGCACTACTAATTACCTATCTTCAACCTTACAGAGATGAAGGTCAACAAGTCTCCCTAGATGCAGAGATTGACACAGTAGAGAGGCCTGGGAGAGAACTATTTCCAAATCATATGAGTCATTATTTGTTTCAAGATAGTTTTCATGGACCTGAATGTGTGATACGCTGAGATATCTTACTGCTTAATAACATCTCATATTTTCTGGAGGATTTTTGTTTCCTTTGGGTATTTTTAGGAGACAGTATAACTTTACTGTAAGAAGGAGATTGATGGCACCCATCCCAGCCAAATCGACCGTCAGTCAAATAAGAGTAGCAAACTGAATCCGGCATGCTCATCATGCCATTTAGTTCGTAAGTGTTAAGGACAGGGAGCAAATATTTTCCCAACAAACACTTACTAAGAAAGAAAGTATACTTGTGTTAAATTTGAGGGGATTGCTGATACACCCAAATATAAGACAGCAAGTCTCTGAATTGGCTGCCAAAGATGATTAAGGACGTTTGTCTATGACCCTCATCCACCATTTCTAACGAAAATCAGAATAGCGCGTGTCATTTCCTGTAACGTGAGTGACAATGTGAATGTGCACTTTTGGAGAAAATGTCATCAAGAGAAGAGCCACCCTAAGCAAGGGCACCATGTACATATATACAGGCTCACCCCCATCATAGAGAATGGCAAATGTGACTGGATCGAACCAAAATTTCCATGTAACATGGTTTTAGCAACAAAACCCCCAACGGGCCTTATGGACCATTGTCACATGTATCATCAAGCTGCAAATACCTTTTACCATATGTGGTAGCCCTAGAGAGAAGGGACATAAATAAGCTGGCCAAAAGAATTTTTTAAAAAAGTTGTTAAGTGCAACTCAATTTCTTTCCTTTAAATTACATTTTAAACATTATTCAATGCCCCCACCCAAAAATATATATATATACTGTATAATTATATAAGATTTTCTTAGACTATAAGAGTAGAAACGCTTTCTAAAAGTCAATCAGAGATCTCAGCAACTTCAGGAGACACCCACTCCCTTTGCCCCCACTTCTACCTACCCATGGCAACTCCAGTCCCGCAAGCAATAGATTCAAAGGCTTAGAGCCAGAAATGCAACCAGATGGCAGGCCAGACAGTAGCACTAGGTAAGAAATAGGCTCTTCCTTTCCTTCCCTTTCAAGTAAGAGATCAGGCAAAGAAGAGGAGTTGGGGAATGCTGTGAAGACCAAGCAGTAGTGCCTTGTAGGGGAATGGGCAGCTAGGAAGAGGGTAGGAGGAGCCCACACCACTGGGCTCATCACTCCCCTTCTTCTTTGATGCGTTGTTGCTTGTTGCGACGAGCATCCATGTCGAAGTTGAAGTCATTCCACTCGTCGCGGGGTGGGAAGGAGATGGTCTGGCGGAGAGTGAAGCGGACTGCATCAATAACACGCTCACCCCGCGTCTCACTAGACCCCACACTGACTGTAGAGGCGCCATTTGGGGTCCGCAGGAGGTGAGTAGGAGAAGAGAAGTCATGGAGCTGCCGGTAGTCCAGGATGCCCTTCCAGATGGCATGCCGGAATTGCTCAGGAATCTTTAGACTTGCCAAATCCTGTGGACAGAGGTGGGGAGAATCAGGGCAAGCCGATCCACCAATCTTTAAGTCATATGATTATGACATTCCCAGGTGGCATGGTTTCCAAAAACCAAACCAAATTCCTTGCTAACCAGTCGATTCTGACTCATTGTGACCCTAGGGGGCAGAGTGTTTCTGAGACTGTAAATTTTTACAGAAGTAGTAAGCCTCATCTTTTTCATTTGGAGTCACTGATCAATTGGGACCACTGACCTTGTGGTTAGCAGTTCAATGCATAACCCACTATGGCACCAGCGCTTCTTGTGGTATGTTTTAATAGACTTGAATTCACTAACTCCTACACTTGAAAATAAAATTAACTGGATGATAGCCTTCCATGCTCCATGCATCTAAGTGAAAAATGTACAACCTTGATGTGCCATCTCTGCTGATGAATAACACTGCACTTTTTCTCCACTGAGCTCGGTTCTTTCATTGGTAAAAATGGGACGAGTAACAAGAAGAGAGGGCAAACATCTCAAATGGAAACATAAAGTGACTGTAGCTTCTGATTCTTGTCACCAGAATAAGGTATTAATGGGATGGTGCCACCACTGGTTGGATGGGGGGGGGGGTGAGAAGTCTTTAGAGAGTCCTAACAGCTCTTCAGCATGCTCTATAAGCCAGATATTGAGCTAATTAATTGATATGTGTGATCTTATTTAATCCTCAGATTAGTGGTAGATACTATTACATCTGTTTTGTAGACTAGTTTCCCTGTCTACAAAACAGGTGTAAACAAACAAACAAACAAACAAACAAAAACAGATGTAATAGTATCTACCACTAATCTGAGGATTAAATAAGACCATGAATTGGAGACCCAGGATAGTCTCTGAGATTTTGCTTTGTCTCAGACTGCTAGAGTAGCCAAAAGGTCTCTTGGAATTTGGATAATTTATGGTCATCAAAATGCAGAGAGGCTGTGTCGGTGTCCTGTGAATGGGAGTGGAAAGCATTACAAATCGTGAGACCTTAACTAACTGTGGTGGAACCTGGCATCTCTTCATCTACATATTTAAGTTCTTCTTTTTGGTGGGAGTCAGATGGTTTGGTAGAAGTACAGTGGACTGAGTCAGAGATTTTGATGGAGGATTCTGTTGTCAGTGAACTGGCTCTTAGACCTTCAGCAAGTTACTCATGCTTACTTGCTCCTGTTGGTAAAACCGGGATGTAAGTCCTTTATAAATCAATGCATATTATGAGCACATATTTAAATGTGGATATTAAAGTATTTTGTAAATTATAAGACATCTTTCATTTTTATTATTCTCTATAATTATCTTTGTACTTTACAGGGTGTCCATTGGTGAATCCTCCAATTTAACTATATTCCTTTTTCAGAAAAGCATGCCAGATAAATGAGGCTGATGCTGAGAGACAAGCTGAGAAAGAGGCATCTGTATCCAGTAATGAGCAGGAAGAAGCTGAGGTAAGAATGAAGAAACTGGAAAACTTCCCAGCATTTCCCCACTCAGCATTCTGCAATATGCAGCCACCTTTTTCCATGATGCAAAGGAATTGGATACTCAGATCATCAGAAACACCCAAGTTCCTGTACTAGCAGAAGACTATAATGAAAATGGTCCACAAAAAAGCTTTGTCCCTCATCGTCCTGAGACTTTAAGATCACCACCCCTTCTTCCAAAAAGTCCAAAGCTCTTCATACGCGACCCTACTAATCCCCCAGACTCCCGGGACACTTTGCGACTGGTGGCTCAGAGACTGGCACAGGACCCAGTAAACATTCTCAGATCTGGATCCGTGACAAGTGTCTGCCTATCCTAAAAGCTCAGAGAACATCTTGGCACATTCCTCAGTGAAAAGTATAATTTAAAAAACATGGGGAAGGGCAGATCCCATGTTGTGTCTGCAGGACTCTGCTCCAGGACGCTGCCCTGCTTCTCAACATCGGGGCTCCTCTGTTCCCTTCACTTCTGTGATAGTAAAGGTATCAGAATCCTATTAACACTGACTCTTCAAGCTTCCCCAGTGGCGACTCACTGGGTGGAGTGCAGTGCACATAGGCTCAGCATAGTATATACTGGTCATCAATGGGCTGGGGCATGCTCATGCTGAAGGGGCATCTCTAGCATCGGTGCTCAAGGAGGGGGGAAGTGGTCCCAACTACAGAAGGAGCAGCGGAGGCAGAGAGCGTCTTCTTCCACCAGCCCAAAGCCCCTCAGCAAGCTGGATGAGAGGACAGTCAAGCCCAAAGAGCAGCACATAAAGGAAAGGCTGGGAGGAAAATCAGGTTGCTGAAAACCAGAGCAGGGCTAGCTCTTAAGTGAGGAGGAGCTCATGAATGTAAAGGTGAAGCAAGCAATCATTATCACCCAACCGATTTGTTTCCAAAGCCAAACCCAAGAAAGTATAGTTGGAAGGTCATGAATTTGACCCTATTTTGCTTACTGGAGGCCATGAGACAAAGTTGAGTGGTCATTCCATGTTCTTATAGCTGCTCTAAAGGGTCATGGGTTGTGATCCCATGACCAGTGACCATTTCAGTGATCAAGGAGAAACAGCTGAGTCTTTCTGAAGGTATAACTTTAAGGAGGGGCAGAAACGGCCAGCCTAATAGAGTAATAGGTTCATTGGCTAGAAGCATGTAGCCAGAGTGCCAGTACTGGTTCTGTCAACTCATCCAGGCAAATAACCCTACTGTCGCTTCTCCATGTGCTTATGTGAGAACACCCGGATCTGTTCCCCGCGTCTTCGATAGGTTAATGAGAACATGTGAAAAGTTCTCTTAATTCTTTAGAAATGATAACTTTCATGAAAAAAGGAAGTCATTTCCCTCTTTTCCACTCTGCAGCCTATAGGGATACAATAAGCCCCATCTGACTGATCAGGTGGCCTGTTCCACTTTCTAATACGGTCAGGGTTCGGTCCAAGTTCAGAATTGGGGATGCCATGATGACAAATTTTAGAACCTCAGGAGATTGAACCAAGGGTGAATGTCACTACAGGGAGGTAAGGTAGAAATAAAACTCAAGAGAAATGTCTAACAGTTACTTACATCCATGGAGTAATGCTCAATCTGATAGATGGTGGTCAGCCCCTGGGTGGTGAAATAGTCCAGACATGATGAACAGCCCAACCTCGCTAAGAAACTGCAGAGGGAGGAGGGAGGAGGAAGGAGGAAACAGAAAAAGAGTTCACCCCAACTGCATTAGCGAGATAAAGGAAAACCCAACATTTTGCCATTGGAGGTCCTTACAGAAGTGACTAAGGGCGTATAAAATATATGTGTCCCTTGGATTTGAGATTTGTGGATAACTAGTCACTTAAAATGTTAATACAGATGTTAAAATCAACGATAAGGAGTCCTGCACAGCAGGGGGTTTCCCATGGTGATCTGTAAATTGCTGGGGGTGAAAGGAAAGAGTAGCCATGCTGGCAAATTCCTAGGCTTTTGCTTCTTATCTCCTTGTTTCCAAAAAGGTATCTCTTCCTTTCTATATTTGATGTTTGGGATAGCTGAATATGGTTCGTGTAATTAAAAAGAAAGTAAGCCATTACTCTATGACAAACGGAAACTTTTCGATTCGTGTCTTCTTCAGAATGGAGATCCCCTCTCCTCCCTGATGCTGGTCTCAAATTGATATTGTCATCGTCTTCAGAGAGTCAGAGCCTGGGCAGGTTAAGCCGTGGACTTGGGCCAGCTCTACGACTGACGCCTACTAGTCCTGCTGCATCAGCCACATGGGGATCACAATGTTCCGACAGCTAGACGACAGAGCCGTTCTGCATCTGAAGCAGAGGAGCATGTACACTGGGTGGAGTGGTGTATGAAACACCTACTTCAGCCTTCTTACATTTCTTTTTGCTACCTGGCAACTGAACATTCTCTCGCCTACAGTACCCCCACTTCCCATATATCCGAGGTTCTTTAGAGCTTCTGGCATTTCTGTTAACATCAACACTGTTTTATGGAAACTCAACTCCAAAATATTCTTGCCACGGTGATTGAGAGCTATAAGGCCTAGAGAGCAGGACAGGGAGCAAGATAGCAAGTTCATTGCCCTTTTTGGAAACCCAACCCTGAGCACCAATTTGAGGGCCACAAAGGATGGTGTAAAAATGTAAGGGAGGAGGAAGGGAGGAAGTGAAGATGAGAGAAACTGGCGTGAAAACAGCATGCCTTATTCACACACATTTTCACTTGTTCCCATTCTGGTTATAGCAGTTTTCTATGATTAAACAAATGCTGACCACTCTGTAGATCAGAGAGAATAGTGGTTGTACTTAAACCATGGAGTTGCTTTCCTTTGTCAAATTATCTTATTCATTTTGACAGTGCCTATCCTCCGCCACCCAGAGAAGCTTAGAACAGGCCCCCAGGGCACATGCTATGGACTCACCTGACAATGCTGCAATCTGTGGGGTACGGAGGTGGGGGGGTGCAGTGGGAGGTGGATGGCATGGAGAGTGGGGGAGGGAGGGCCTGGGTGGGGCTGAGTCCATTCATGTCTCCAGCCATTGGCATGTGGGTGCCCATCATAGGAACTGAACAGAAGCAGGGGGAACAGAGAGGGTTACTGCCATCATCATACATCAACACCCCAGTGATCCATCTTGCCTGATTTCATGTTCCTAAGAGCCTAATCTATCAACCTTCCTTTTCAGTCTTGTCTCTCATTACACCCCTTCCCTCATCCGATGTCTCCTTGTCAAACTCCAAACTGACGTATACATTTCTTGACCTTTGCCTCTTAGTTTACTCCTCACTCTTTTCTCTACCCAATTGCTCATTGCTCGTAATGCAAATGTACTCCACCTTATATTTGCTCTCGTAGGCTATATTTCTATCTGTCTCACCAGATGCCTCTTCTCAAACATGGGGGTTACTTTTCAGCCATATCTAAATCCCTATAGACATTAGCACAGTGCCTCACACAGTGTAGGAACTCAGGAACTATACCTGAAGTGAGCAAATAAACAAACAGGGGAAAGAAAAATGACCTTTAGACTATTTATTTGAAAATAGGAGGACTGATTGGATTATTTGTAGGGATCCATACATCTAATAAGGCAATCACACAATTCAAGATTACAACTCTTTTATAATCCGTTTCAACAGTGTGCAGAAACAACACCAACACTGACTAGCATTTCATTATGCCATAAACTGTAAACATCGCTAGGAAAGAGGAAACACCTGATTCCAATAAACAGTTCGAAAGAAAACTCAGATTTTAAAAAGTGAAAAATAATACAGGACCTACAATTTTTCATTTGCTTTTATTTAATGGGACAGTAGTGTGACAAAGTTCGAAGGGCTTCTCTCATAAATTAGCTAACTATTTACAGAGTATAGGCTTAGTGAATCTCAACTGTTTTCCTGACTACCAAAAAAAAAGATGCTGAAGCACAATTAAGAAAAGTATTAAACTATGATATAATAATGTGGAGGGACATGGCCATTCCCACTAGTTTTGTTCCCCCAAAGAGTAATTTAAGGAGCCAAATATGCACAAATAAGAAAAGACAGTCTTAAAAAGTCATAACTATGACTGTTCCTTTGAGCGTCCAAGTAGTTTAACTCCCCTAGGTTCAGGTTTTGAGTATTCAGATTCATTTGTCACTAGTGAGACAGCACTATGGTAGTTGCTATCCATTCTTCTTAAGAAAGAACCAAGGGGTATAAAAAAATTGCGTAAAAAGCAATTAATTTTTAATTCCATTTTCCAGCAACTCTTTGAAACCTGCTTGTACAGACATGCACCAGTAGGTCAGAGAAGGTCACAGTCCCAGCCTCCTTACACTTCCTTGAAAAAGAAACCCAATGGCTTCAAGGACACCGTGAAGCGTGAGCTGAAAGGTGTGAGCTGCTTCTGCTTTTTTACCATAATCTTTTTCATTCCTGTTTGAGTAATCACTTTGCTAGATGTGATTCTAGTGGACAAGGTAATTCTATTTATATCAAGCCTCTATATCAATCATCATCCCTTTAGTGGTCGAATCCTCACATTCTGCCCTCTGCATTTATTGCTAGTTGATGTGAGTAATTTATACAAGAATAAGGAAGAGGTAGGCTCTTTCACTATAGGTCCATTTAAGCAAAGACTAATTGAGAAGATCAAGGAACACACACACACACACACACACACACAATTCACTGCCATTGAGTTAAGTCCAACTCATTGCAACTATAGAATCGTAACATATTCAATGTGAAAAGCGATAATTTTATATACAAAAAGCTGAGCATTAGCGTGGAGACTTGCCCATGGTTACATAGTTAATTTTGCAATAGAGTCTAGACAAAAATCTAGTTCTCCAAGTTTTAAGTCCACTGCAACATGCTACTTCCCCTAATTGGGTACATTGCCTTTCAACTCTCCCACAGGTTGGCAGACAGAGGGCTCCATTAGCAGGAGCTGGGATCCTAACCAGGTTGGCAGGATGTGAACTGTGCCTTCCACAGAGGTTATCTCCACACTAAAGTAGCCTGTGTTTGAGCAGTATGCTTTGGCATGTGTATCTCAAAGGTTTCACGGTGAGAAATTTAAGCAGCTCCATCTCTCTCTACTCTGTCCCAATCTGTCTCTCACTTAGTTTCAGAGCAAGCCTTTCTCCCACCCCAGAGAGCGTCTCCTCCTACACGAGTCCTCCTGGACCTTCAGCTGTCGTCATAGGGGCTCTTACTGTTGGCTCCCATGCCATCCGGAATGGTGGTGGGAGTCAGGGCATTGCGCTGCTGGGGGTTGATAAGCTGGCTCACAGAAGGCAGCTTGTTCATGCTGCTCATTTTGTTCAGCGGAGGGGAGCTGTTACCATAGGAAGACTGAGACTGCATCGAGGTCCTGGGAATGCAAACACAAATGACAGTGAGTATCAACACCGAGAAGTGAGGACTATTCTTTTCCATTGTCTTGCAGTTAAAAAACATGATCTAGAAATGTACATTTGCAAAATGATTCCACCGAGAGTCATGAAAGCAAGTTGATTTGCTTTGACCTGTGACCATTTCCTAAGTAATAAGCCTACCAGATATTTGTTTCTGAATATGCAAAGTACAAAATTGGATATTTTCATTAAGCATTTCATTAATGGAGGGAAAATAATTGTCTGTCCTTTTTTCTTCTCTCATTTGCTGTATCCCTCTCCCTTTTCTTGCCCTTCAACTGAATCAAGTTTGGAAACCAGTAGAGGACAACAACGACGTGAAGCCCTAGTGACTTAGAGGAGACATGGACATGCCACACACAAGGGGAAGTGGACGCTATCTTTTGGGCACTTCCTGCATCATTGTTGATCTCAGAAAATGACTGTAAGACTGAGCAGGGTATTTGGTACCTAAGACTATGAGAAGTCTGAACTTGGAAATATGCTTTTTGTGTGCAGCTGTTCCCAGGCTCTGATGGAACCCACTAGAATGCCAAGTGCCTCTCAACACAGAAGAACCCTGGAGCCCAAACCAGTGTTCTGTTAATTCTCTACAAGTAGCCTGGGTGAGAGAAAGAAAGAAAGAGTTTTCCATTCAGCATTTGAAATTGAATTTGTCATATTATGTACTTAAGCGTTCTATCAAGATGACATCCCCTTACTATTCAACTACGATTACTAATCTTAGTTTTTGCTTTTAAATATAAACTAGTGATGTATAGTAGAATGAAGGCAGAATTGAGAGTTAGAAGATCAAAGTTTAAGCCTGCACTTCAGCACATATTAAAAAGCTGTAGGTCTTTATGAAAGCCACTTAATAGCCCGGCCTCAGTTTGTTCACATAAAGCCAAGTGTAAGTTACACATGAGTACACTTACTCTCCCAGTTAGATGGTGCTGTTCGGTGCTGCCAAGTCCATCCTGATTTATAGAGACCCTGAATGCAGCACAATGAAATATGGCTGGTGGTGTGTTCACTGTTGAAGCTGGGAAGCCGAGGAGAGCCTCCTTAATATCTCATAGGCACCATGAATATCCTGGAATAATGAGCCAACCTACCTCACTGGCCGTGGTGAGAAGGACGGAGCTGAGACCAATTATAGCTTTATCAGACATGCAAGATTTACCTTTAAGCATGTTTCTAACTCCTGGTGGGGAAAGTTCCACGCATAGAGTCCCCAGGAGTCTCGGAGGGGTGCAACTCATTAATGTGCCCAGCTACTACCCGGAAGGTTGGAGACCCCCATCTACCCACAGAGTCTCAGAAGGAGGAGTGTGAGGTAAAACCAGGTCCAAGAGCTCCATTGTTTGTTTCTTTCATTTTGTATCAACTTCCCAGAAATCAGATGGTGGTGTGTACCAGCTCACAGAATCAGGAAGTCGGTGAAGTAGGATCAATGTGAGAGTCTGGTTTAAGACAGGGAACAGGGATACAATAAAGGGACCCACAACACCTTTCACCCAGCCTTCCAAATTTACACTGCACACCAGCCTCTCCACAACCCCCTCCCACCGGCACAAGAGTTTTACAGAAAACTCATTATATTTGGATATACTCAAAGACATCTGTAGGTCCATAGAGAAATAATGGACAAGGCAGAAAATAAATGCTTTGTCAGAGGCTGCTACTTCGGACAGACTTTGCCCACTACACACTACCTAAGAAGCTAGGCAGTCTCCGCTCAAACATTCAGTTGGTATTCTCTAAGTTAAGCCGCTTTTATTTCTGTCTTTCTCCTCAAATCTGCCAAAGGTAAGGCAAGAGTTAACAGGAACCACTGCTTGAACCACTCATAGTCACCCTTAGGATAAGCATTCACTAAAGAACTTTGCTTTTTTTCTGGATTGTCAATTGCAACAAATGCTACTCTCTCAATGCTGGACCAACTTCATTCTATCTTTTCTTTTATGGTCTTTATTTTAATGATCATTATTTCAAGTATTATTTTTCATTATAAGTGACCTCAATGATTATTTGAAAGAAAGTTGACCTTAGATAAACAAAAAAGGAACATGGATTTGGGGTCAACCAAAATTCTGCCTTCAACCAACAGACGTGACACGCACTAATGAGCTGACTTTGGATGGTGTGGAAGTGAGTGTGTTTTATGTGTCCGACGGATGTTTCACCACTCCAGAAGACTCAGTGTGACGATTACATGGCCCCAAGTAGGAACACTGGACATGGGTGTTTGGTAGGGACTCAATAATCATGAAGTCCCTTCAATCTTCCCCTCTCAAATATTTAATGCTCTAGTTTTGGGTCAAGAGGATCAGTAGGGGCAGTGGAAGAATTACTAGGTGGGAAAGGCTAAAGGTGATAATTCTTTTTAATTGAGCAAATCCAGAAATTAGGGTGAGGTGACAGATGGGGAGGATGGAGTCAGACAAGGTCAGGCATTCGGAGTGTATCTCCCTTAATAGAGAATCGAGTTTGTCAAGCTACGAGTTGTCAAGCTACGGTAGCAGGTCAGGGTTTTCTCTGTTTCTCCTAGGTTTCCAGGGCCAGAAATAGAAGGGACATTGTGACTGTGCGTGTGTGACCAATGAAAAGACCTTGAACGAGAAGCACAGTGTTCAAATGTAAGGTCTCCTAAACAGCCCCAAACATTTCAGGAGAAGCTGAGGGGAGAACAGGATGTGTCCCTTTTACTTTTCTTATCTTCCTACTTACACACTAACTACCTTAAACAATGACATGAAAGCATGACCTCCCAATGGAAAACCAGAACAAAGGCTAAGCCTCAGAGTGCTTTCCCTATAGGCTCACTAGAATTTTCTCCTTCAAGGAATCCAACATAACAGAAAACTAGAAAGCCACTTTTCAGTTGTTCCGAGTTAAAAAGAAAAATGTATCCTACTAATGCCAACAGCCAGTTCTAAACTCTGAAAATGCAGGCGTCTGCATGCACTGCTTCGTGTAGTGATTATACACTGCATTGCTAACCACAAGGTCAGCAATTTGAAACCACACGCTGTTCTGAAAATAAAGATGAGATTTTCTACTTCTGCAGAGTTACAGTCTCAGAAAACCAAAGGGACAGTTTTACTGTGAGTCAGAATTGATTCGAAGGCAGCACGTTGCTAAGAAGAACATTCAAAATTTCAGACGGCGTTGAACATGGCCTATAGATCTTCCAGGGTTAGAAATTATACTTCTGGATTTCACATCTACTGTGGTTAAAAGTTACAATATTTGAGAAATACAAATCCAAGCTATCTTTCCAATCTGCAGGAGATACCTCAAATTTTGTCAAGGAATTCTTTTTACTTATAGTTTTCATTGTCAATGAAAAAGTGTCTCTTTAAAGGATACTTGGTGATACTTTAAGGGCAATCTAACTTGTCAGACCAACTCTAGAATATAAAATGTCAGAGAGTAAGAGGATGCTGACAGAGCCTACAGTAGGGTACCACAGACAGGAATAAGGTCAAACAAGAGAGGACAGGTAGCACTAAAATAAATAAATAAAAAACAATCTCCTTTGAAATTGTGCCCAGTCCTGCCTACAGTCAACTTTTCTCCTGAGCTGAGTAGCCATGCTTCAAACACTTTCTAGGTTAACAGCAATTTTCAAATATTTTCATATCATTTAAACTATGTGCATTTATACAAAAGGCACCACAAAACAATCAAATTTGCATAACAAGGTAGAAAAGGAAAAATAGGAACTTGAAGGACAAATGTTTTTTAAAAAGGAACATACTCACCAACTCTTTAAGGGATGTGCGGACCAAAGTTCTCAGATTATTTGAAAGCCCTTTGAAAGCATAGCACAGCATCTGCTTTTATAAACATACTCTCATCTCAGACCTAAAGATAATTTTAAGTACTTCCTTAAATTATTATTTTATTTAGCAATATCTCATAGAAAGCTCATAAAGGAAATTACTCACAACTGTGAATGTAGTGTAATTTTTAAAAAGGCACCAAACAGATTCCCTTGTAGATTTCTGTTTGAACATTTGCTAATGCCTTCATCATGGAAGGCAAATCATCCAGGAATTCTGGATCTGGATGAAATTCCTTAGTAAATTTCAAAGCTGAGATCCAATTTGAGATGTTTGGAGATAGTAATAAATGACTGTATGGTTGGTACCTGCCTCCCCCATGAAGAAATTAAACTTGCATAGAACTAAAATATATATTTAAGTTAGGTTAAGCATTGCAACTTACTCTTAGAATGGATGGCATTTATATAGAAAGTTGTATAGACTATATTAATAAGAGCAACTAAATACTTATATTAGGTAGAGAAAGAGCCCAGGGAATTAGAATTCTTGCTCTTGAGATGACACTTTTCATTATGAGAAACTAAATGAGAATATTCTAGATTTAAGGGGAGGAACAAAAGAGACAGGAAAAGAAAGAAACTTCAAGATAAACCAAGATGCAAAATTTTATTGGAAATTAAAATCACACATCCATAAAGCAACAGCCTCAACGACAAGAACCCACTGTGGTAGAAATCCAGACTAAAGAGCTGGTGGCCCAGTGTCAGGAGACAGGGGAGGAAGGAGGTTTTACAGTCTTCGTTTTTAGTATTGTGTAAAAATATGTCTTAAAAGACAGATATTATCTTGACATTTTGTTATTGAAGTCATCTGCTTTTTCTATCTTTAATTTCTAGGCTAGGTGTGTTCATATTAATATCTGCCCACCTGGACTTTACTTGATCCAAACTTGAGTGTCCAGGATAAACAAGTTTATGCAGTATCAGTAACATGACTAGTTTATAGTGGGACAGAGGGCCAGAAGCTCCAAATGAACAGATGAGTCTTAGAGTTGGTAAAAATGAGTTTCTTTTGAGCATTAAATAATTATATATAAATGTCTTGAGCCATTTCCACCACCCCACCCCTCCTATTAGAACCACAACATACATTTGCCTTCCTCAATCTGAACAACAGTTTTGAAG